AGCATTTATCGGCTTCGTTATTTTGCATATTTATGCGTACCTGTTAGAGTCTCTTAGGCCGCGGGCAAAGCAGATAGGGTATTATCTATCGGAAGTCGAATTATAGATATTCTCATGCATATTTTGCGTTAGTTCGACATCAGCTGCCTGTTAGCCTCGACATCTGTTGTAATTAACGAAAACAGCTACGTCGACGCTGTTTAGACGCTCTTTGTGGAATCCTTGGAAGGGTAACTGCTGCGAAGTTGGTAGTTGGTTGAGCTGTTCCTGAATGAAAGATTCGAGGATGCATTCCTTATTATACAACCTACTGATCGAGAAGTGAAGCCATTCGGAACACACAGCATTTACGTATGATCCATCGGTATGCTAAAGAGTATTTTTCAAAATTTTTGAAGTTGTAACACGCGAACAATTATTTATACGTGCCGTCAATCGATCAGAATTGGAACGTGGTTTCGATTATACGCACCCATCCATTCATTTAACCATAAATTTTTCCTTCCCGCCCCCTCCTCTGCCACCCGTCAAGGGCTGCATGCATGAATATAGATTCTTTCGTAAATTTAATGAATCGCACAGCGACCAATTATAGCAGAGTAAGACTGTTTATTGTTTCAGTCGATCAGAACATATCCCTACGTGCAGTCGTTGCTAGTGTAGCGTTTAACTGAAACTGTCTGAAAAGTGAATCTCTGAGCTTCATTACTTGTCTAATGAAACTGCTCGTATCAAAAACAGAAATTTCTTTTCTGTAATTTCTTTTGTATTTCAAGCGAAAGTTTTCCATCGTTGTTAAAATTGTGTGGTCTTTTAAACTTGTGCATCGTTGCGAAGATTATGGGGGTCCTTTAAATTTGCACCGCCCATACCATGAGGCTCGTGCCTTTCTTAAGTTTATCCACATTTGCAAACTGTCAATGTGTTGAATCGAGATCACTTGTCATCTGAGTACTGTTTCGAGGGCATCTTTTCTTTTTGACCTATGCTTGATCGATTATGACAATATGGTGTCGTACATTCGCTTGAAATATTTTTAGGCGAACAGTTGATCGGCCAAGACAAGGTTGCATTCGATATTATTCGAAACTTGCATCGTATGATGGACGATGATCTTTCCGGCAGCATTGATCCAAAGGAATCTACCGAAGTGATTGATTTTCTGTCTTTTGTGTTTATGTCACTGACGCTGACAGTTGGGGAGGGCTTAGGACGTTCATCTGGACTAGGCTAACATTAATTTTGCTAAAGTATTTCAGCTCCAGTGCGTGCGCGTTCGATGTTTAGTTAGTCAAGGAGCCTGTGATTAGTATGAACCCAACGGTAGGTACTTAGACTCTTCAAACATGATCACAGGGTTTCTTCAGTTCTTCACTGTTGTCCGCCATTAATGAATGGGGAATTGAATCATGAATCTATTTATGCTCGTTTTGTCGATTCAATGTCGAAAGCAATCAGATCTTTTCTACTGATGTCTTCTCATCATTATTTGCATTACTCACGCAGCAGTTTCTTCTTCACGATCTTCACTTGGCACGAGGATCTAGCGTATCATAGGTATTACCGCCTTAACTGCAACGCTTTTCTTCAGTGCATCGTATGACGGTTTGAAATTTATCAGGTGTTATCTATTTTTGTAAAACCGCTGTTTAAGATATTATTTAAATTACATAAAAATAATTATTTAATGATTTGAAAACGTCACTGTTTTATTCCTATCG